ATTTTTAAGTATATTACGCAGATTTGGCCTACCGGGCAATTGACTTCCAAAAGAGGCTGGTAAATAGAAGCAAAACACCCTACGTGGCCGACTTGCTCCTGATTCACCCCTAAGCCGAATATAGTTCCTCTAAAACGACCTTAATCGGCACGAAAATTTTGACAGGGTCATAGCTTCTATTCGTATATTTTTTGAAGGATTCGTATATAATAAAAAAATGACTTTTAAATGAAGGCAAGAATATTTTTTCGAATGCCGAACTAAAATAAGCAGGAAGAGATGAAAGGTGACAGGTTTATTTCTCAAAAAGAATTTTGTGAGAAATAAAGAAAGAATGACTTCAGTTTAAATTGCTGGTATTTTTACAGTTGGTTATTAGTGAACGCGCTTCCTGTACATCGTAGAGGTGTTAATGAAAGCGTTCTACGGATCTTGAAGAGAATGCACAGGAAGCGAACAGTTTTGTTGGCATCCTATCCTGTAACTCTGACGTCATCACTACCGAATCAGGGAGTCTCGTTTGGTGAAAGCCTTTTTTGGAATCCCTTTGCTCATTTAAATTCATTCCTAACCCATTGTCTTGAAAATATGAGTTTTTGGTTTATCATTAAATGGGATTCTTGCAAATTCTGGTTGATTATGATTCTTGTTTTTATTTATAAAGCCTTTTTTGGAAACCCTTTGCTGCCTTAAATTCATTCTTAACCCATTGTTAGGAAAACTATGTGTTTTGTTTTGTTGATACTTGTAGTTTAAGACATTTTCCATCAAAACGGCGATTTTGTTAGAAGTTCAAGTCGATTGATGTTATATAAATATTTTAGGCATATATAATTAGGTTGTAGATCATAGAAGGTTTTTAACTGATATCTACACGAGGGAAATCGTTATGATTTAGTATTGATTGGTAATGACAACTAGTATTGACTATCATGTGGAAAATATCATTATAAATATATTTTTCGTTGATGGATGAACGTCCAGTTGAGTTCAACTTTTGGTCGGTTCTTTCCCGTTATTTTTTTGGGATGGCTTTTACTGATGCCTTTTTCAAACCAGCAGGCTGTTTTATATTGGCTCATTAAAACGACATATGCTGTGCACCTTCAGGCTCCTAATGTCTGGCTTTCTCAAAACATTAATAAAGGACAGAGATTAAATGGCAAAACTCTAGGAGAGAATTGTAGAACAATGAACAATAAAGAGCGACTCCGAGAAAGTCGCTTTATAAATCGGCGTCTGATTTACGAGTGGCTGTGTTCGACGCTTTCGGATTCACAAATTTAACAAGTCAGGCTGGGTTATTGGGGAGTGGGGTATCTTGGGTATGGGGTGACTGAATTGGGCACTGGGGGATGTGATTAGGTGCGGGAGATTTTATTGGGTGCGGGAGGATTTGAATTGGAGGGGGATTTCAGAATTCAGAACGGGGGATTTGCTTGTTACGGGGTCATTGATTAGACACGGGAGGATTTGAGTGGATACATGGGATTTGATTTGGTCGAGGGATTTGATTTATTTTGTGTGCATTTGATTGGTAACGTAGGGTTTATTTGTGGAATGAGGGATTTGTTCAGTTTCACGAAGTATGCGCTTCTGTACGGGGTAGTATCGTCGTTTCGGGAGATTCACGTAATTGCCTGGGGATTTGCTTGGGTATGCGAGGGATTGGGCATTGGGAATGTAAACAGATTACTTGAACGGGCACTGAATACTGAGTTATTTTGCAATTATTTCTTTGAAAAATTGATTGGCCCGATTTCATTATCAATGGCTCGAAGTGGCCAAAAAATTTCTAAAATTCCTCGTATTATTTTATTTCTGGATGAATTTTAATTTTTTTTATTTTGTAAATAAATACACATTATTCCCTTACTAAGTGTTTGACGGTAGTCAGTATCTAAATGAGGCTTCGAACAGGTTTGTGCATACATCGCGTTCTTTGGATATTTCGTTTTACTTCTAATAAAATATTCTGCATCTACAAGTTATCAAAAATGTTTATTAATTTATTTTAGGTCGAGTGAAAATTACCCATGTAGTTGTTAAAACTTGATTAATAATTAACATAGATTGCCATTAACTTCATTTCTTTTCAAATTCATTTTGTAAAAAGTGTGCTAGGAGGAAGCGAATATTTCAAATTACTTTATTACTTATAGTACATTCTTTAGACTCCAATATATCCGAGGATCAACCTTTAGCTCCTGCCCATCTAAAGAAAGAGGTTTGCTAACACCGCATATAATTTGCCTGGCCTAACTGCCGTGCATATGGCTAACGTATGCAGCCTTACATTCAAAGTGATATGGTCTCGCATGCAAAGCATCGGCATATGCTTAATGCCCCGCTGCAGGGACCATCTGTAACGGCGTGTGAGTGGGTTGTGGATGAGGGCTACCCGCATGTTAGTCAGGCGGGTGAGTGGGTTGCCAACATGGTACCCAGGCCGGTAAGTGGGACTCCTACATAGCACCCAGACGGGTGATTGGGTTGCCAACATGGTACCCAGGCGGGTAAGTGGGACACCTACATGGCACTCAGGCGGGTGAGTGGGTTGCCAACATGGTACCCAGGCACCTACATGGCACTCAGGCGGGTGAGTGGGTTGCCAGCATGGTACCCAGGCGGGTAAGTGGGACACCTACATGGCACTCAGGCGGGTGAGTGGGTTTACAGCGATAAATAAATTTATCTTGACATCATATTAAGTTTATATACAATTTATAATAACGCCATTTTCGGCATTGAAAATTTTAAATTTAGCCCGATCGGAGGAAGGTTGAAAGGCATATGCGTGTCTACACTGAGAGAAATGGGCGGGTCTGGATGACCCACTTTGATGAGTCAACCGCGTCCGAAAATCGATGCACTTTTTTGACTCACTTTCCCCATTTGTGGGTCATACTGACCCATTAAATTTCAAGCATGACTCACTTGGGGCGTTAAATCACTCTGACGCCCAGATGCTAACTACGTATCCATGCTACGGGTGGCGTCATTAGAGATTTGACGTCACAAGTGAGTCATGCCTGGAATTTAATGGGTCAGTATGACCCACAAATGAGGCAAGTGAGTCAAAAAAGTGCATCGATTTTCGGACGCGGTTGACTCATCAAAGTGGGTCATCCAGACCCGCCCATTTCTCTCAGTGTAGAGATCCGTGAAATGCAAGTTATAATCTTGAAAGTAATCATCACCGTGACCCAGGCAATAATGATGCGCCAGGCATGCGGCAATCATTATGTAGTTAATGTGGGAACGTTTCCTACATGCCTCGGCGAGCTGTTGGTCCAGGAACCAGATTTTAATACCTTTCACGGTGCTCATAAGTTCTACGCTGACCAGATTTTAATACCTTTCACGGTGCTCATAAGTTCTACGCTGACCAGATTTTAATACCTTTCACGGTGCTCGTAAGTTCTATGATGACCAGATTTTAATACTTTTCATGGTGCTCGTAAGTTCTATGATGACCAGATTTTAATACTTTTCACGGTGCTCGTAAGTTCTATGATGACCAGAGTTTAATACCTTTCACGGTTCTCGTAAGTACGACGATGCCCAGATTTTATTACCTTTCACGGTGCTCGTAAGTTCTATGATGACCAGATTTTATTACCTTTTACGGTGTTCGTAAGTTCTATGATGACCAGATTTTATTACCTTTCACGGTGCTCGTAAGTTCTACGCTGACCAGATTTTAATACCTTTCACGGTGCTCATAAGTTCTACGCTGACCAGATTTTATTACCTTTTACGGTGGTCGTAAGTTCGACGATGATCGTGAATGAAGTTTGAATGTCTGTAAAGTGGATGAGTGGTATGGTTGATAAAACTATTAGAAAGTGAATATAAAAATGGCAAATGAGGAGCTGTTGTTTTTATTGAGTTGTAGTTGTTTTTCGTAATCTGATCCTTGTTCGACTGCACCAGGGCATGCAGTTGACGGAAAAATATTACGAAACAGCAAATTAAGATCCACGCAAATTTGTTGAGCGGATCAATCTAGGAAACCACAATCGAAATATCAAAATAATTAACTATTTGAGAACTCGCGTTACAAACGAGAATTTCAGAAATTCCGCCAGCGTTTTTTTGCAACATTTATGCAGGGACAAACTGCATTATCTATTATCAAAACTACATTACCTATTATCACAACTTCATTATCTATTATCAAAACATAATTTCTTTGCATTTACGTTGCTGGCACGAGGGTCGCAACATTAGTTGCTTTCCCTGCTTACTTCAGCCTGATTTTAGTTCCCTTTCATTTTAATGAACCATAATTGTATAGAGAACACTAGGATGGTCTGGGAACAATCTATTAGGCACCATATGGCTTTTTGCTGTTAATGTGATCGTCATGTGACATTACAATTGCTCGCGCTCTCGTATCTCACTCGTAAGTCAATGTATTTTGGGTCTCTGTCTCCCTTTGCTTGTACAAGGAATTACATGCATATTTGGTTGCTAAAATTTAAAGTGGGAATTGTTACATGCATGGTTAAATTCCTTAAGGAATAATTGAGTTCAAGTCGAATGATTAGTTAACTAAAAATTTACTGGGAGACTTGAAGGCAAAGAGTATGCCGAGAAATAAAATTATCAAAGTAAAGGTATTAATTGTTAATGTATGGAATTTCTTTCACTAGTAAAATTTTCATAATCGTGTTTCGCTGAAATTTTCCGTTGCGTTCAGCTTTAAATCTTCCTCATTAAAAAAATAATTAAACGCTCGGGTTATTATGTGCTTATGACTTATATTCTTGTAGGACTGAATCGAAAATTAATTTGTAACAGATGTAATAATTTAGTGGCAATTGTAGGGATGAATTTATTACTGGTACCGTCTGGTCATCTATTGAATGTATATAAATTGAACGCTAATACATTTTTCTATGTGTGTCATGCGACGCTTGCAAGATACCTATGTAATTTAAAAAATTTTTCTAGACGAATTTTCCTTCCATTTGGACAACAATCGGATCATATATATGTATTTGTAAATATGTTTGTGTTTATGTTTTTATATGTTTTTATTATTATTTATTTTATTATATGTTTTTATTTGGAAGCAAGTATCAAATCTTGTCTGATTTAAAGTGAAAATGTATATGGATATTTCCATGTCAAAACTTTACCTGCTCTAACAAAAATGTGTTTATAGTTCAATAATTTGGCCTTTTCTTTGCATTTGGTTAATGAAGCGCATTTACCTGCATATCAGCTGAGTGCTGGACAAGAGTGCACGAATACCGGACACAATCAGCAGTTTCGTTTGAAGAAGTCTCCCCTCGTTTCGGTTAGAGCCACTCGAGGGAGGAAGTAATCGCAATGAATGTTCAGTCGGCACTGAATCACCGGTGCCAGGGCACTTGCTTATATACCCCCAGGCGACCCGTTGATCGTGCTTCGGGAATGTGACCTTTCGCCTTGTTCTTCTTCTTTGCTGGGCATGAGAGGGCATTCGTGGCATTGTATCTGGGGTACGAGGCCTTGTACATGACTGCACACTATCACGGAACACTAGCACACTGTAAACAACCATGACAGCATTCAAATGAGTGTGTATACCTAACAGGTGTGTTGCCTAATGCTTCACCATCAGTGCCAACGCGCCTGATTTGCCCAGGGGTTTACTGATGGAACAAAGTCTGGACTGAACTGCTTTGCATGATAGTTAGGTCCGTATTTTTTTGTAGGTCGTGAGGAGGCTATCGTAACTCCAAGGCGATACGTTTCATATGCCTACAACTTAACAAACGATAAAACAATTAAAGATAAAACCGTAATACTGCGAATAGATTTTTACTCGTCAGTGGAAATTATGTATTTTTTGTCATATATAGTAAACACCATCATTATTGAGTTCATCAATGCAATTTATTTGACATCTCCAGGAAATACAGACCAAATAACATTGTTAGATATCACATAGAACCAAAAATTGCTTTTAAAAATCAGTCTGCAACATACAAGACGGTAATAGTAGAGGCTGTGAACTGCACGTGCCAACGTGCAGTTACTGATGTGCCCAGGGGTTTACTGATGAAACAAAGTCTGGACTAAACTGCTTTGCATGATAGTTAGGTCCGTATTTTTTTTGTAGGTCGTGAGAAGGCTACCGTAATTAAGTCCAAGGCAGTACGTTTCAAATGCGTCCAACTTAACGAACGATTCTAGAATTGAAAATAAAGCTGTACTAATGCGTATAGATTTTGACTCGTCGGTGGAAGTCATATTTTTTGTGTATATAACACCATCATTATTGAATTCATCAATGAAATTTATTTGACATCTCCAGGAAATACAGACCAAATAACATTGTAAGATATCACCTACAACCAAAAGTGCTATTCAAAACCAGTCTGCAACAAACAAGTCGGTAATGTTAAAGGGCTGAGAACTGCACGTTTGGCGCTCGCCCGTAAATCAAATTTGCCCACTCCGTTCCTTAGGTAGATGAAGAGGTCAGCTCTGAATAAAACGGAAATACGCACTACTACCATTTACCATTGATATTCATGTTAATCGTTAATAATTTATGTATAATTCATGTTTATCGTTAATAATTTATGTATAATTCATGTTAGTCGTTAATAATTTATTTATAATTCATGTTAATCGTTAATAATTTATGTATAATTCATGTTAATCGTTAATAATTTATGTATAATTCATGGTAATCGTATAATTATAATGAATTATACGTACTCATTAATAATTTCATTATTCGTAATTACAATTCATTATACGTATAATGAGCTATACGAATAATTCATGTTAATCGTTACAGGAACACACTAAGGTTGCAAGTAAGTGTAGAAATTTGATGAGTTATTTCAAATTTAACTGGGTCATGAAATTCTCTGTCATGAAACAAAATGTACACGGGTTTAATTTATTTTCTGATAATAAAAGAGACGAGGAGGTTAATTTTTCCTGAAAAAATTTTCACGTGTCTGTGTATAATTTTCAAGTCACGCTTACACACTAAAGAAGAAAAATTTTCTCTGTAGAAATAAATTTCTTGCAGCTAAAACTGACTATTTCAGAAGGATTCACATCGAAAAACAACGAAAAATTTAAATTGACAGTGAATTGAAAGAACTTCTAATTTTTTCCCTCTTTTTGACGGCTACAACTTCATGAACAGTTTTACTTCAGACTAGCGACGATAATATGTATATAGGTATTATGTATGTATATGTACGCGTACATACATAATCTATACATATGTACATATGTGTAATATATACATATGTATGCGAAATATTCGTATTTGTTCTTCTAAACATTTGATCTATGAATCGACAACACCAAAATACTGCGACTTAATTTCTTCGTTCATGAAATGCTCCCATGCGCATAAAATTCCTATTTGGTATTCTTCAAATTTTTCCAGTACTCAATGTAAGCAGTTTCGTTAGTTCCATCCGTACCCGCGCTGCAATCTCCTTGTTATTAGAACTTTTATACCTTATCATTTGTATGTCCAATGGCCGCTCAACTAATTGCAACCAGTGTATGTAGTAGGCCGTGGATGTACTTTAAGCTTCTTCTCTCATGTACACATGACTTCAGAATAAGCCAGGGAGAAGGTGGATGAGCTAAGTGCATCTTCTGAAAGTGAAAGCCAGACTGCTAGTCGGTCATCTCTTCACTTCCAAACGACCAGTCAGGTTTTAGTAACGTTATAATTAGTTTCCTTCTCATGTGTGGGCATTAACGTTCAAGTTGAACGCCATGCAGAGCCATACTCTGCGTATTTCTTACGGCAATTGCTTTTAAAAAAACCTGGCTATACCCATATATGGTATATGAGATCATAGTGTTACGTATTGCCTGCCGGGCTGCAAATTATATGGTAAACAATAGACTGTAATATTTTGGCTCTCTGTTTGCCAGATCAAGTTTTGCCTGACCTGCTGCGATCGATCACGGATTTACTCTGAAAATTTGTATTCACTAGATATCTGTTAATATTGTTTTATTGATTTTACTTGTATTTTAATCGTTGATGCAATGAAATGCACGGAATCACTTATACGGTTAACGTAAACACTTGTCATAGCATTTTATTAATAGCAAGCGTTTTATGCTTTGTGATTATTGATGATTTAAAAGAAACGTTTACGCTGAACGAGCGTAACAAAGTCGTTCAACTTATAAAGTTGAGCGTCAACTTTGATCCTTTTTTATTCCAAGATTGCCATAAAAATGTGTTTACAATTTCATTCTTCTTACCAAAGTTTATCGGTGTTTTTGAAAGTTCTTCGGCGATCAGCGATCAACATCCAGATCTTCGTAAGGAGTCATGAGAGCCTGGGAACGGTTTGCACCCTCGATTGCGTTGCCATCGCAAGCGTTTGTCGTGATTTGCTATTCCCTAAAAACGTCACATGTCGACGCTTTCAAAACCTCAACACACTGAACCTTTAACAAGCTAGTCAAACATGCGTCACTGAGTCACTGTCACGAGGGGCATGTTTTCTTTGGGGAGGGTGGGGGGGTTATTCATAGACATTTTTTACTCTATCGAAGAATAATTCATTACATTTTACTTCAGCATGAAAATTAGGGTACAAAAATACAAAATGTTGCTCCATTGTTTTAGATTTAATAATTATGTTGCTTTATACAAAGTGAAACGAGCTTAAAAAATAATATGTACTGAGCCCGAGGTTTTATGCTGCTTTTTACCTACAGTTATTCAAAATTAACTTTTCCAACACGAATAAAATGATGTCCTCAGTCTAATTACGCATTGATTGAAATATGCATTTAATCATTTATTCGCGCAGCCACGCGAAGAAGTAATTAATATATTAGATCTGGTTTTAACGGTCGAGATGTGGCAAGAAAGATTCCCTGTCACAGATCTCTCGACGGGACCGTTGAATTGTCTTTGTTTCAGTTGTTGCATCCACGACAGCGAGTCTTGTTTTGTCAGTAGAACAGCGCTGGTTTTGTGAATGATTTCAAATAAAATCTTGAAATGAATCTAGAGCGTATGCTGAATAAAAATGAACAACGGCGACCGTTGATGCCCAGATCTTCTCCCACGGTTGCTTCACACGATGGCAAGCGAGAGAGACCTCTCACGCGTGCTGGCCGAGGGCTGAATATTTAGGAATAATTGCGGCGATTTTGATTCGTCATGCAATCCTCGTTTAAGTTTAAACTAAACTTACCACTAGTGAGCCGGAACCTGAGTGTCCGGGCCGAGGACTAAATATTTAGGAATAATTGCGGCGATTTTGATTCGTCATGCAATCCTCGTTTAAGTTTAAACTAAACTTACCACTAGTGCGCCGGAACCTATAAGTATACGTATAATCTGAATTAACGTATTTTTTTTAATTCCTGATCAACCGTGTCCTAGGTGCCCATGCACATTCCCGCTAGATACTCGGATAATTATAGTACATTGTTCGTGGTTGATTATTTCATTGAGTGATTTGTTAGCTGCTGGTGGTTTCTCAAGTCGTCTGAAATAAAAGCTAGGTTAGACTTGAGCCTAAAAAATATAATATATACTTAGTGGAAGTTGCACCTGCTCAAATAATGGGGAAATATGTTACACTTTTTATCTACTTTATTCCAATCAACATGGTTATTTTAGCGCTGACATCAGACATAAAAACGATGAAAATTCATTTTCGTTATCACGTTTGGTATATAATTTACGCACACAACTTCCGTCTCGTAGCTCTATAGTATGGATAGCGACCTTTGACCCGTATGCACTATTATGCTCGCCCCGTCCGTCTGTCCGTCCGTCTGTCCGTCTGTCTGTCCGTCCTTGACTTCACGTTTTCTTCGACGAGAAAATGCGCTCTCTGTCACTCACTCCAGTGAGTACTGAGCTATATATTTTTTTTAATTATTCAATTGATACATGGTGGAAGTCAATGAGTCGTATTAAAAATTTGAAATCAACAATTAAAATTTCGGTGAAGATTTTAATGCCCACTATTCTTATCATTATATTTTTGTTAACGACTCTCGTTCCAAGCAATATTTTTATAACGTCACCATACGTGACGACATTAAGAGACCGCAAGCCGTTCATCATGGAGGATGTCCCGAAATGATGACTTAGAATGGATATTAATCACGGGAAACTTACTGATGACTCATAAACAGGGGTGAGATTTTAGATCAGCTGTTATTAGAATTCTGCAATACATAAATGCTGCTTCTGGTAGATTAGTTGAGCTTCTGATTGCTTCCTGGTTCATTTAAACTTGTTTTGTAATGACCGTCTACTTGCATCAGAACATATCCCTTACATCATCTATAATTACAGTATAGGTAGTTTTATTTGTGGTTATGGGATACC